GTGTGTGTGTGTGTGTGTGTGTGTGTGTGTGTGTGTGTGTGTGCGTGCATTCCCCCCTGTTTGTAGTAGGTTTTTTGGAAACTCCTTGCTTCTTTGTGCATTCATATTTTTTACATAATTTACCTGACACTGATAGGGCATTGGAGTTCACTTGCCTTGAAGATGTGTTAAAGGACTCCACTCCCGCTGAGCACTGTGATCATCCAAAGGCAACATCTATATAATTGCAGCACCTTTCTTGTCTCTCTCACTTCTTCAATGAACTAGAGAGCACAGCCAACTTGACTTGATCACTGGTCCCTTATGATTCTTGGCAAATGTTACCCCTGTTAGCAAAGACGTTCAGGACAGCTCACAATTTACTGCGTGTTATTTGCAGATGACTGGGGTGGGTTTTATCCATCTGAAAGAACTCCGTGTCTCCATGCCACTAAATTCTGACATCTTTCTTAAGGACTTAACAGCATGTAATGGTTCTATCTCTGGTAATGGGATCCAGCTGGAGATCTAAGGTATGCAAAGCTCTTGTTTTAGACAAAGGGGTATTTTTCTCCAGCCAGTAAGTAAAAGTGACTTTTTTTTCAGCTATAAAAGGACAAGAAGGATTGAGATGATTGCATTGGGCAGGGTGTCCTAGGCTTGTTGTTTGGGCAGCTGGCCATATTGCTATGCTTGAGTCTTCCAAATTTCTTCCATTTCTTGTAGCAGCATGAAGAGTTCACTGGCTAAGACAAGTCTCTTTATGGTGTGATGATTAATGCCCAGGGTCTTCTTAACCTGGAGCCAGCCACGGTGGGACATCCAACAGTGTCATTGGCAGACCATTGATCAGCATGTGTTAAGGACTAAAGACTAAAGACGTGACTCTTTTTCCTATTGGTTTAAGTTACTTTGCTCTTCTCTCTGGTTACAAGTTTTTCTCCCCTAGAGAAAACATTTAACATTTAGTAATGTAGGTAGAAATCAATGGTAAACAGTCTGAAGTTTCAGTTTTAGTCCTTACAGATGTTTGACTTAACTGAGAAAACACTTTGTCTCATTTTCAAGGTTTTAAGAGCTCCGTGACATGAGTCTACTTTGTTGATTTTTCATCACCTTCAAACCAAGAATGAGCTTGTCCATTCTCATTGCCTGATTGCAATAGGAAATGGTCCACTTCTGGTCCCAGTCTCATTTCCTAAGATGTTGCTATTGCTAGGTTGAGAAGAAGGAGAAAGAGGCTTGTGTTAATAACAGAATGACTTGTTTTAAAACAAGTGTTGAGGAATCAGCACTGTAGGCATCTTATGAGAATTACACTCAGCCACAGCCTCTGTGACATCTCAGTCACTTCTAAATACTTATGGAGATTTAGTTGATTAATCCCAGAAGAAGCCATAGGACAGAGGCTGTTAACTGTTCTTGTAGTATAACCAAGTATAGCATACAGAAGTAGGTGGCTAAGATAGGATCTGAACACGCAAAATTGGTCTCTAGAATGTGCTTCCCTTCACTGTCTTTTAAAATACATGGCCTTACTATGTTACCTGGGCTGACTTCGAACTTCCAATGCTGCCCCACCTTATTGAGTAGCTGGGGATACAGGCAAGCACCACTATCCTAGTGCCTGCCCTTTGAACTTGATTAAATTGTTACAGGGTCACGAGATTGGTGATAGTATCATTATATTACAGATGAGAAATTGAGGCTTGGAAGGGTTAGCAGCTTTTTTTTTTTTTGAGACAGGGTTTCTCTGTGCAGCCCTGGCCATCCTGGAACTCACTCTGTACACCAAGCTGGCCTCGAACTCAAGAGATCCGCTTGCCTCTGCCTCCCGAGTGCTGGGATTAAAGGCGTGCGCCGCCGCCGCCGCCGCCACCACCACCTGACATGGGCTAGTAACTTCTAAAGGCCGTTTCACACCTGGCAAGCAGCAGAGGTTTGCTGTGCTCCACATGTCAAAGCCTTCTTCATGCTTGCTCCACACTGCAGCATATTCCTTCCAAGTCAGTGCCTTGTCTGCTCCAGAGAAAGCTGCCCAAGAGAGTGTATCTGCAACACACACACTCCTGGACCCGCGTGGCACAGCAAACTCCCCATTCAGCCTGGAGGAGTTATTTGTACTAGGGTCACAGTTAGAAATGGTTCACTTTTCTCTATAAATAGCTGCAGGATTCAGCTTTTCAGTCATCCCTGCCTCTGGGACTTTGGGTTTGCTGTCCTTTGGCTGGGATGCCTTCTCTAGATGTCTGTGTCCATTTGGTCATCCTGCTCTCTCAGTCTCAGGTGTGATTAACTCACTGAACCTGGCTCTCACAGCTGCATTAGTGTCCAGGGTTGCTGCAATGGTTCAACATGAGCTCAATGAAGAAAATGCCTTCTTAAGATTGGCCTGTAGGCAAGCCTGTGGGGCATTTTCTTAATTAGTGATTGATGGGGGAGGGCCCAGCCCATTGTGGGTGGGACCATCCCTGGGCTGGTGGCCCTGGGTTCTATAAGAAAACAGGCTGGGCAAACCATGAGGAGCAAGTCAGCAAGCAGCACCCCTCCATGGCCTCTGCATCAGCTCCTGCCTCCAGGATCCTGCCCTGCTTGAGTTCCTGTCCTGACTTCCTTTGATGATCTACAGTGAGGGTGGTTTGGGTGGTGTAAATGGACTCTCATTAGTTCCAGAGCACTAAAGGCATCCAGCGTGAAGGGGCTGCCAGGGCCTGCTTCCACTGAGACTATGATGCAGTATCCCTTCTGGCTTCTTCAGGTTCAGGTGTCTCTGTGTATGTCTTAGGTCACAGCAGTACAATTCCAGGCTCTGTGTCTGTGTGGCCTGTGGCTCTATTTCCCCTTTTCCATGTCTTTGGTTGTAAGAACACTGTCATTGGATTTAGGACCCAACTGGATATTCCAGGATGACTTTATTTCAAGATCCCTAACTTAATTACACCTGCAAAGACCATTTCCCCCAATAAATCCACATCCATAGGTTATGGAAGGATGTGTCTTTTGTACTGACCACAGCTTTTATTGCTGCCCTCTGGTTCCAGGGTCTACTCTATTTTCTTCAAAGCATTTGTCTGTATTTGATGCATTATGTCATTTGGGCCTTAAATTCCTTCAATTTCATTTACATGTTTTTAAAGAAAAAAAACATGTATATGATAGCATGTCAATTCTGCACAGTGGATAAAAATATACATACGGCCTTGTCGATAAAACTCCAAGTTGCTAAATGGTCATGTTACATTTGCTTTTCTCCAGGAGAGAACCCTCACCAGAGTCTCTCTTTTTGCCTTAGGATCTGATCACCTCCGAGAGAAAGATGGCCTCTGGGCTGTCTTGGTCTGGCTGTCCATTATTGCTGCCCGGAAGCAGAGTGTGGAGGAAATTGTTAGAGATCATTGGGCCAAATATGGCCGCCACTACTACTGCAGGTGAGCATGAGCAGGGTCTCTGCATGTGTCTTCAGAACCACTCTTAGAGATGTTTTCTAAACCTTATGGGCTAGAATTTAAGAAGAAAGCATCTTTTAGAAACATCTGAGGGACTGGAAGGCTGGGATTGACTGTTTGGGATTAGTATCAAGGGCTACTAAAATGAAAGGACAGATTTTACTTGTAACATCCTGCCCTAATCTTTTCATTGAAATTATAAGGTAAGTGGGTGGTCATGCCAAGAGGGTATCAAAATGCCAGGCTTTGAGAAATTCCTTGTGTTCCTGGGGAGCCGTGGGTCCTGTAGTCAAGGCAGACACATTACTTGTTTGTTCTATATGGATCTCTTAAAGAAGTGGGCAGACACAAAAGCTCACAATTTGATGATTTTGAAATCTCCCATCCTGGGTCTAATGTCCATACTAATGGTCAGAAGGATTCTGATGTGGCTGAGCCAGGACTCTGCATTTTCCACATGGCTCAGCAGCCCCAGGTTTTTTGCTAGAGGCTTACCCTGATGAAAAGAGACACAGTGGAGGGAAATATTATCTCTGAAGGAAGCAGATGAAAGAATGGTGGGCCAGGACTCAGGGTAGTTGGTCTATCCCTTTCCTCTCGATGAAGTAAGAAAGTATAAGAACATTCCAAGGTTATGCCACCTAGGTGTGTGCCAGGTGTGTGTACCTACTACCAAGCCATGCTTAGGGAAAGGGTGCTAGAAAAAAGAGTTGACCATGAGCAACTATGTGGGAAAAGGAACCTCAGACTCTGCTAAAGACAGAGGGTGTGACTCATTTTGCTTCGCTTGTGTGCAGTTATCAGCTTTGGGTGTTCAGTTGAGTTTCAAGAGCTTGAGGGGCAAAGAGTTCTAGACTTTTCCCTTATATGGTGATTGTTTTTTCTTTTAAGAAGCATCTACTTAGATAAATATCAGAGAATAAGGGAGACCATGAGAGTGCTTATTAAACTCTAAGGGACTGCAATGTTCTGGGAAATATAGACAACAGTCATAATAGCTTTGATCCTTGGTTAGTTAAGAAGACTGAGAATGTGGAAATAAATAAACCAGCATATTATGCATTGAGCCATAAAACAGAAATTCTCAAGGTAGATAGGACCTTGTTTTACTCATCAATATTTCTAACATGGGCCACATACCCCTGATTCTTGGGGAGTATTATTTATATATTTGTTTAAATTACATCCAAAGACTAATAAGCACATGAATTTCTTCTGTTGCATGAATATTTTATAAAGATTTCATCCTGATAAAAATATTTTGTGCTTGCTAGCTAGCTGAGTGATTACTCTGAGTCAGAGATACACTCCTTATAATTTGTGGAATGACTGTTTAGGTTCCTGCCTGTGTTTTGAAGAAATGGTGTGATGATAAGTGTATTTATAATATACTTCATGTTTTGTGGCCAAGAGCTTGTAATATTAGTTGCCTTTTTCATAACAATACCATATTAGAGAATACTATGCAATGGAGACTTAATTTCTTGCAGGACATTCAACTGTATTACCAATTGCTGTCCAGAAAACTCACAGAGATTAAGAAGAGGGCCATGGGGGCAGGCACAGTGAAGGAGAGTCTCCTGTATTCCTAGCAAACAGCACATGGAGGAGTTTTTGAAATTAGTAATTTCTAGCTGACAGATTTCTTGGCAGGGAGGGAGAAAATGATAAAACAAGTTCAGTGTCACTGATACTGAGACTGAAGTTGCAGTGGAGAAAAGTCTTCAATTTTTTATTTTTTTGGTCTGGGTAAACTCCAGAAGCAATTCTCCACTTCCTATGAAAATGTGGTGCTGGTCGTGGCAGCTGGAGGAGCCGTCTGGCTGTAGAGGGAGGGAGGAAAAGGGAGAGTGACTTCAGGAGTCGCTCGTACCAGCAGATGAACCCATTAGGTCTGGTGCTTGTACAAGATCTCAGCTTTAGACTCAGCATGGGCTTCTTCATTAGTAAACCTTCTCAAGTTTTGAATTTTTGCCTCCGATGTTCTCCTGTCTTGTCCATCTTCCTGCCCCTGTCTGCTGTGTCTTGGTCTAACTGTTTATTTATTTATAGAATTTTACTACGTATTGATTGATTGATAGACTCTTACTGTGGAGCTAGGCTGGCCTTGAACTTGATTTTAATTCTCTTGCCTGAGCCTTCTGAGTGCTGGGATTACAAATAAGAGTCATGCCTGGCTCCTAGATGGGTCTCCCCCACCCCCAGAGTGTCTATCTCTAATAAGAGTCCCACATCTGAACACATTTACAACAGTGTTCTAAGGACTTTCCCGTTACTTTGTTTCTGAGGCTGAGGAAGAAATGCCTGGTGTAGGAGGAAGAAGAGGATGAACTAGATGTGGTATCAGTCCATGACCCCACTTTGTCAAGCGTCTTTAAACCTTTCAAGGTGATAAAAGTAGTAGCAACTACTCAGGGCTTCCATCCTTTGGTTCACCCTGAGCATTTTCTGTTCTGCAGAAAGCCCAGATATGAAGCCCTTCTGAAGCCATTGGGGCCCAGAGCTCCTCCTCTGGCTCCTCTGTAAATAGTCAACCCCTCTTTGGGATGCCAGTTGAATTTGGAGCCTATTATCTGATGTTTGGAGAGACAATTTCTTTATGTCAGTGACTAAGGAAAAAAAAACCAACCAACCAACCAATGAACAGATTTAAAAAAAAAAAAAAAAAAGCTCTGATGCCTGGCATGTACCAGCTGTGTGGTATGCATCATCATATTTCAAACTCCAAAATAAACAGGGCAGGGATAATTTTTAGTCTTTCTTTTTTCCTTCTGATCACCCCAGTGCTACTATTACATTTGATGCTTGTGGATAGGGAGACTTTTGGAATGGAACACTTGTGACAGTTCTTTCAAGTTCTACAGGGATTTTTTATAGTACGTTCACTTTCTTCCTCTCTTTTTGCTCCTGCTCTCCCATCCCCACCCCATTGCTTCCTTATCCCAGACTACTTACATAGCATGCACCGTGCTCCAGAGACATCAGAGGATAAGAGCACTGAGGTCTGTGGCCTTTTGGACTCACATTCTGAAGGGCAAAGTCAGACTTGAAGTAAGCAAATAAGCCAGAGGGAATCCTCAAGACAATGCAGAAGAAAATGTGCAGGGAGTGACCGGTGAGGGGAGAAAGGGAAGCGCCTTGGGTGGATGGATGGATGGATGGAAGGATGGATGGATGGGTGGATGGATGGATGGATGGATGGATGGGTGGATGGATGGATCGATGGATCGATGGATCAATGGATGGATGGATGGATGCTCAAGAGTGTCACTTTCAGAGATCTGAAGACTGAAAGAAAAGGATGAGCTAGTGCTTTGAGGGTACCGGGTACAAAGAAATCTGAGAACGTACGAGATGGAGGGACAAACAGCCAGAGCAGAGTGTCAGGAGTGGCTGCGGTGTCACCAGGGACTAGCGTGGAGGCCATGGTGGCTAGAGCAAGTGAACTAAATAGAATGCAAAGTGGGACAAAGTCAGTTCAGATCAGGCTAAATAGGGCAGGGGTGGATCCCACAGTCTGTGTTTGGGTGTTCTTTTGTCTTTGTTTTTCTCAACATGACAGGGGTTTGGGGAGGGGCTTATAAGAAAGGAGCGACATAATTTGGGTTTCCAAGGCCACTGGCCACCATGTGGAGACTGCATTGTAAAGGCTGTGAGGAGAAAGTAAGACCCGTTCAAGATGCTTTTCTTTATCTCCTTTCCTGGGATTGGTCCACCCAGCTGCTGGTTCTCTGATTGGGTTTTTCTGTCTTCCCCACAACAGGTTTGACTATGAGGGACTGGAGCCCAAGGCGACCTATTACATCATGCGGGACCTGGAGGCTCTGGTTACAGACAAGTCCTTCATCGGCCAGCAGTTTGCCGTGGGGAGCCACATTTACAGTGTTGCAAAGACAGACAGCTTTGAATATGTGGACCCCGTGGATGGCACCGTGACCAAGAAACAGGTACTTGCTAGGGAATCACAGAAACAGGTGGATCAGGCAAAGCTGGTGGGCAAAGGGTGCCGAGCTGGAAAAATCTTGAGGGGTCGGCTTCTCCGTGCTCTTCACTTTGAACAAGAGTTCTTTATATAGGAAGAGGAAGCCCTCCATGAAGGTTACCTCCTTACTGGTGGAGGGTGGATTAGAACCTGGGCCTTTTAGTCCCATATTGTTTACACCTGGTAACTGATGAACCAAGACCTCAAACAGGAATAGGTCTCTCATTTCCTCCTTTAATGGTAGCAGCCTACAGGTGCTTTTGTGTGGTGGCTATTCTTGGTGATAAATTCAGAGGAGTTCCTGGAGCAAAATATCCCTGTTGTCGTCGGGGTCTCCCAGTGTATGGGCACTTCATCTTCTATTACCTTATGTCATCAAGGAAACATAAGGGCTTAGATAAGTTCAGTGTCCCTGGGAGGGGAAGAACAGTTGGAAGGTTTGCCCAGAAAGCCAAGTGGAAGACTCATGGATGAATGCTAATCTCAGGCAAGCAGCAAAGCCAGCTGCAGCCAACTCCATTATTCTCTTGTCTTTGTGAACTGCGTGAGAAAAGTTGATGTCTCTACACTGATTTTTTTTCCCCCTCTTGGTCTTGTGTATTTATTGGTTATGGCAAGTGCTGACCCTTTTGGGAGCACATCATAGACATTAACATTTACAGAGTACGTAATATAACCCAAGTAATGTTAAGAGTGGTTCAGTTCATAAATCCCCAAGTTCTTGTCTTCTTACATATTTTTTTTTGTAAGTGAAGACAGTAACATGAGGCAGGTGCTGCAGGTGTTTGGGACTAGATAAGATGGGTTACTGCTAGCCTAATTTAACTAGTAGTTCCCTTCTCATCTTTGATGTGAAAACTCCAGTACTGGGGTACTCCAAATCCTGGTACA